GCGCATGGTGTAGGTGGGGGTGGGGTGGGTGGGTGGTGTTGGGAGGGTGGGAGGGGTGCGTCAGGAGGGACTACCTGGGTACAGGAATTACCATTAATTTTAGAACAATTAATCATAGCCAAAACAAATAAAATAACTACTAGTAATTATGTAATAACAAATAAATAAGTTTCCTAAAAGCATTGTGCACAGGCTGAAGTTTCCTTAAAAAATATTGTGAATTTTTTTCCTCCTGGCGGCCTACATAACGCGTTATGGCTGCCCCAAGTGGACCTGTCCAACACTGGTCAACCCATGTGCGTCCGTCCCTCGTGTTATACACAGTGCTGCGCCATTAGTGAAATATTTTTTTAAATAACTTTTTTATTTTCATAGTAACTTTGAACATTTTTGGCCAAGACTATGTCTGGTAGCAGCATCAATCATTCTGGAGGTGTTAAGAGGAAGAAAGTTGTCCTAACAATTAAAGACAAGTCACAGTTATACGCCTCAACCAGTGCGGCCTCAGTGTTGCGCCATTAGTGAAATATTTTTTTTAAATAACTTTCTTAATTTTCATAGTAATTTTGAACATTTTTGGCCAAGAATATGTCTGGTAGCAGCATCAATCGTTCTGGAAGTGTTAAGAGGAAGAAGATTGTCCTAGCAATTAAAGACAAGTTACGTGTTGTTCAAACAGTGAGGCATCACAGGCAGCCAAGCGCCTTCAACAAGTGAGGCGCCACAGGCAAGCCAAGCTCCTTCAACAAGTGAGGCATTATAGGCAAGCCAAGCGCTTTCAACAAGTGAGGCGCCATAGGCAAGCCAAGCGCCTTCAACAAGTGAGGGCATGCAAGCGCTTCAACAAGTGAGGTGCAAGCAAGCACCTTCAACAAGTGAGGCCTCACAGGCAACCCAAATGCCCTCAACCAGTGAGGCTTCAGCAGCTGGCAGTCAAAACTAACTTAGCTTAATGAACTGTACAGTAATTTTAAGTGTTAATTTTAGTGTTGTGTTAGTATAGGTTACGTAAATTGTTAAGAATTTTTAACTTCAAGATGTGTGGCATCAATCAAGAAGACGAACACCAACAAGGTAAGTTGAGGTTTCTAGTTGAATATTTAATAATTGTATGTGGCAAGGTAATTCAAATTATGTTGTTTGTAGTATAAAAATAGTTGGAAATGGTCACTTTTGGACTCGTAGGTGAAAAAGTACCATTATCCGAAAAATGTGATAATCTGGCTGGGGGTCCTTCCCATATAGTCCGGATGATCGAGTGGAGACAGTATGCTCTTATAGACAATTTCATTGCGAACAGTGATACCAAATTTAAATACGTGCGCCTTCAATTATTGTCAGGACAGTAAAAAGAGTGTACACTTTTTCGGTCTTACCGCGTAGGCGCGCAGAGTGCCGAAAGCATCTAGGGTATTATTTTTTTTTGAGCGCCACGAGTGCGAAAGTGTTAAGCAAGACTTCGAGCCTCGCTTCAAGTGCTTCTCGGTCGGTGCGGAGATAATTCTCGATGGCAATTAACTATATACATACCATATATTACACACTTGAATAATATTACTGCAAACAAATTAAATATAAAGCATTCACAGACACTGAAATAATTATGTAAAAGTGTATTTGTGGCAGCCCCTGCCACACTCTGCTCTCGGCTACTAGGCTGACCTTGTATTCTTGTTCTGTGTACATAAACTCGGCACACAATCTTTGTGGTTCATTATGGTGCACAAACATGTAGATAGGTATATAAAATGTGTGCACATAATAATCCCATAATTTTGAATATAGTGATGTTCCACACATTAAACTATATGAAATCCACAAATTACACACTTTTAAATAACATTACAGCAAATAAAAACAGAGAAGAAACGAATGAAACGTCAAAATAATTGTGAAAAATTATATTCGCAGCAACTGGCTGCGAATATAATTTTTATCGACTCAGCCCCACGGGGTGGCGGAGTCGATTGACCCCGAGCGCTCGGCAGCGTGCTGAGCATCGCTCAGCGCCCATATTTAATTTGCTTAACATCTCGGCTCTATCATTGAGACTGCATTTTAACAACATAAGAAGAGGAAAATAAGAGAATCATTATTTGCAAAGAATTTATTTTTGGTGCACCATGGGTGTCATATTTTAAGGCAGTGCAGCACGGTGTTGAGCAAAAATCACACCTGCCATAGCATTTACCCCCCCCCCCCCCCACACACACAAGTCACAAGTCAAGCCTGGCCTCGGGCCGGGCTTGGGGAGTAGAAGAACTCCCAGAACCCCATCAACCAGGTAACACACACATACACATCTTAAAAAAAACCTGGAGACTATTTATTCTACTTGGTAGTACCTCAAACTACTCTAGGATCTCCTGCAACTTGAATAAATTCAAGTGTGTGGCTTATCTGAATATCTGGCAGACTGTAACCCTCTAAAATAAAGGCCGTCAGTCAACACGTCCTCTGTCAAATCTCATCGGCGTCCGTCTGGTTTGCCACGTCACCCGCCCCTTGATGCCATATCTTTCATCATTACAGATCAATCTATATATTTGCATTTAAACATACTCTATTTGTAGGTTATATAAATGAGTCCATTTCTCCTTTACAAAAGATTTTCATACAATGCACAGATTCTCCAAAATACACCTTAGACTCGCTACTAGTTTCATGGGCGGAGTGACATCAGCAACCTTCCAGCTGCCAGGATCGTTCCCTCCAGGAAACAAGTGTCTAATACTTTTATGCGGCTTTCTCTCGGCCAAATTTTTTTATAACTTTTATCCAAAAATATTTACAGAGACAAGGTTCATAACGTGTATGGATCTGATCTTTTTAGTTTGGAGATGTCTTTGTCTGTCAAGACACGAGGCGTGCAACATGGCTCTAGCCTGAAGTCTGTCATTTTGGGCTTGTGGGACGGGAGGAATCTTGGGTGAGGCCCTGGTTGCCCAGCCCTTCATCTTTTCTTGCTGTGACTTATGTGGGGGTGGGTGATATTTTCCTCTGTGGTCGAGCTTGATTTCTCATTTGCTCCTCCCTGAGGTTCACTCCATGTATTGTACTGCTAGACTCCTTGGATGCAAAGTATTTTTGGAGGATTACATGATAAAGTACGTGCAGAGTAATCGTAAGAACATGAAAGGTAATTAGTAGTTGCATACAATGCATATTGAAAAAGCCACTAGTACATGAAGCATTTTTGGCTTAATTCAACTGAATTATTTTAAGTTTAATGGGGGGTAAACACTTGATACTAAATGAAAAGTAAGGTAATATATAATTGTTCAAGAATTAAGAATTATACAATATATGTGATACTATATGCGATTTACAAAATTCATGCAAATCAAAACCTACACAAACCCAACTTGCATTACAGTATGGATCAGAAACCACTAGAAATCCACCTTTTATTTCCATCTTTACAAAACGGAATATATTCTAACATTAATGTTTAATTCTCCCTCCCCTCCCCTTCCCTGTCACAAGATCAGCACATATAATCAATTCTATATACTGTATAATGTAAATGAGTCCATTTTTCTTGTGGAATCGGCTGTTGAAGGAATGTCAACATGGCTTGTAGTGCCAGGTACAGAATTGTATGGTCATGTCCTTGTCCTTAGTATGATGTACAAAAGTCAGCGGTAAGTTACAGTTGATAGTCCCTTTCATAAGTGAGTTTCACCTTCACAATTTGTTGAATACATAATAATATATTTTCATGTATTATGCATTGACACTGCTGAATTATTGTGTGAATTAATGTGTAAAAATAAAATTTATGATAACCAAGAAAACACACCAAGTAAATTTTGTGATTAGTGAAGACCTTAATGGAACACAAATTGAAAGTTCTAAATGGGTCCAGTTAGTTGTTACACCGGCATAAGACACGTCAAATTTTTGGTGCCGATTCATTTATTTAATGTAGTTTGAAATTTAATTAAAATAAAAGGCCTTATTCTGATAAGGCATTGTGGGTATGAATATGTAGTGCAATGTAACATGCATACGTGCAAGGGTATATGGGTATATCCTGTTATAGGATATACCTTTACCCCATATTCTTAGGTACAGAGACCATCCTTACTTAAATTCCTGGATGGTCCAAACATGTTGTATTTTGTATAAATAGTTCACTTTAACATACAAATGTTTCATTGAGGATTGTTTAAGCCAAGGCCAAGTGTCGGGAGTGGGCTGTGTTAACACCCATGACCTATTGTACAGTGCTTAAAAACATCCATTAAACTTAAATATGACAATAATTTACAAATTATATTATAAAATGACAATTAAAAATATAACACAATAGACAAAAGTGAATATGATTATGGCATCACTCACATGTTCCTTCCCCAAATTAATTTTGTCAACTCAAAACTACAATATTAAGACAAAAATGCATCCATGCCAGGAGTTAGTAGATTGGTTCAAACACCATTGCTGGTTAGTAGGCGAAGATGCCTTAATGGAGTAACCATAATGCTTAAGATTGAAATAAAATGTTGGAATACAGTTCCATTCAAGTGCTTGGAACTGAATAAACATGAGCATAGCTGCCTCTGATTGGATGAAGTGAGCTTCATCTGAGGTGAAGTGAAGAAAGCTGACAAGTGAGCTTGGGGAGGAAGGGCAGTTGTCCTTCCCTACCTCTTATCACTGTGCTATATAGTCGTAATGGCTTGGTGCTTTCCTCTGATAGTTCAATTCAATTCATACGCTCTAGCATTAATTAACATTTCACCTGTTTGGTTTCAATGGTCTTGTATATAATATGAAATCCTGTGTAACAAATCGGCCTTGCACCATATGGTTCGTTAAAATGAGGATGCACTATATTGTGCTTATGATGAGAGCTTGGTAGTGCTGAAGTGGGCAATGGAGGCCTTTTGTATTTTGTAGAATATTTCTTATTAACTCCGTGATTTTTTTTCCTGCATTAGACCAGATATATATTTTTTGATTGTTTTATTAAGGCTTGTTTATTTCTTTTTCAGTTTTAGCTGGAGCACTGCTAGAGAAGGCAGAATATTTGTTGGACAAAGGTATTCACCCAATTAGGATTGCTGATGGCTATGAACTTGCTGCTAAGAAAGCCATTGAAAATTTGGAAAATATTGCAGACACATTTACTGTTGACACAAATCACTTAGAGCCCTTAATTTTGACTGCAATGACAACATTGGGCTCAAAGATTATCAATCGTTGCCATCGGCAAATGGCAGAAATTGCTGTGAATGCTGTAATGGCAGTTGCTGATATGGAAACACGTGATGTAAATTTTGAACTCATTAAAGTAGAAGGGAAAGTTGGAGGCAAGTTAGAAGACACAATGTTGGTTAAGGGTGTCGTCATCGATAAGGATTTCTCTCACCCCCAGATGCCAAAGGAGTTAAAGGATGTTAAGATGGCAATTCTAACCTGTCCATTTGAACCTCCCAAGCCCAAGACAAAGCATAAGCTTGAAATAAGTAGTGTAGAAGAGTACAATGCTCTTCACAAATATGAGCAGCAACAATTCATTGATATGGTGGACAAGGTAAAGGCAGCTGGAGCTAATCTAGCAATTTGTCAATGGGGCTTTGATGATGAAGCCAACCATCTTCTCCTTCAAAAAAAACTTCCTGCTGTGAGATGGGTTGGTGGACCCGAGATTGAACTCATTGCCATTGCAACCAATGGTCGAATTGTTCCAAGGTTTGAGGAACTGTCCCCAGAAAAACTTGGAACTTGTGGAAAAGTTCGTGAATTGAGCTTTGGAACGACAAAGGACAAAATGTTAGTTATTGAAGAGTGCCCCAACACCAAGGCTGTGACTATCTTCATCCGTGGAGGAAATAAGATGATTATTGAGGAAGCAAAGCGAAGTATTCATGATGCACTGTGCGTTGTAAGAAATTTGGTGCGGAACAACAAGATTGTGTACGGTGGTGGCGCTGCGGAAGTTTCCTGTGCCTTGGCTGTATCTGAGGAAGCTGATAAGGTAAGGCATTTCTTGTTTGTTTATGGTAGCTTAAGAAAGTGACTTTTCCCAGTTAGCAGGCATGTAGGCAGCCTGAGTATTAGCACCAAAGAAATTATAATAAAATATACAAGTGCAATCTCAATTCTGTGAACTACAGGATCTGACTTGTTAGTGAAGAATTTGTTGCAACTAGGTTACTTCTGAGTGCATTTCTTTTTTTATATGTGCAAGTGATAGAACAAGAAAAAAATCCATAAAAGTACAAAATTCTACTTCACTTGTCCTGTATCAGTTTTCCTTGCTTACACAAAGGAATGTGTATTGAAGGAATTTGATTGGGTCTTGAGTATTGTATTAAATGGAAGAACTTAAGTACAGCAGAGTACTATGTTGATTAATATAAACTACTGTACAGTAGTTACTGAACCTTTAATATAAAAAAGATATTTATTTGAACCTTAAATGAACCCCCCCCCCCCCCAGCCTAACTGCACTCCCGCTAAGACCAACGTTAGTTTGCTGCTGCTTGTACCAACTTCAACATTATTCATGGGATGCACGTCAGTGACAGATTGAAGTTTAGTGCAGGGTTTGGTTGTGAACAGCCAGTCTTCCTTTGCCTGCTATGGTATTAAACAAACTCAAAATAAATTTGCCCCTATTGGTTACACAAGGTTGATATGAAGTTGTTGGCTACTTCCTTTTAAGTGGGGGCCTGACAGCCCAGTGGAGAGCACTTGGGATTTGTAGTTCTGAGGTTCCGGGTTCAACCCCCGTTAGAGGCGGAAACAAATGGGCAGAGTTTTTTCCCCCCTGATGTCCTTGTTCACCTAGCAGTAAATGGATACCTGGGAGTTAGACAGCTGCTATGGGCTGCTTCCTGGGGGGTGTAACTAAAAGGAGGCCTGGTTGAGGACCGAGGACTGGGGATATCATTATCCCCAGATCTTTTACATGCTGCTTTCCTACTTTGGGCAGATTTGATTGTTTTGTACCCTGTATATTGTTTACCCGTTTGGCTGTGCATCACATATGATGGGCGAGTGATTATGCTCTTGACTATGCATCACATCGCATATAGCAGTAGTCTACAGCGTAAGATTTTAAGACTTCCCGAGGTACACGGGGCTCATATTGGCTTCCTTAGGCCTCCAGTAAACAGATACCATTTTGAAACAAAGGTGTGGGTACCATTCCTGGGTGTGAAGACCACAGTACTGAGAGCTACCATGGGTAATGCATGCAGCAGCAGCTAACAACATTGCTGTTTAACTTGTAGCCACAGCATCGCTAAGTAATTCTGAAATATATATGAAACTGCTTTTATTTTGTGATAGTATTATAGAAGAGCCTGACTGATAAACACTATAGTGTTGAGATAGCAGTGCACACAATGCTGTTTATGTTCACAGTGTTAGGAAGGCAACCACAGCACTACCATTGTGGGGTCCATCTAAGCATCTTGAATGACAGTTTGTGTTCCTATAAAAAATTAACTTGTGGCAAAATATTCATTTACGGAATTATGATAATAGGAATGTGGTGAGAATTAGCAATGTGCATAGTACTGTAAGTTGGGTGGAGGATTCTTGCTGTGTGAGGTGACGTTGTCTGCTGGCTGGTGTGTGGTGACGCTCTACCGCTTGGACACCATACCAACTTAGTGGTTCATTATGGCGAATAAAAATGTAGACACGTTATATATAATGTATCTACAATATCCACTAGATTTAAGGACCATTGATTTACTGTTCTGCCGACTGTAACGTTAACTGGCGCCTTATTTATAGTTATTTGCCATTAAATCGGGAATACGGTATGAAGTTTAACTAGTGAGGTGCTCGTTAAACTGGAGGCCACCGCTGTTTGTGACATCCTTGCCCTTGCTAGGCCAGCGGTTACATTTTCCCTTCTCAGAGTTCACTGCCTCTGTTATGCAGCATCCAGCCAGCCAGTCAACCAGTGGCAGCCATTTTCTAGCCAGTCAGTCATAACCAGCCAAAGGCAGTTAGGTATTCAGTTGTGGTAGCAACCAGTCACAGTCTGTAAACAACACGAGTCTGATGATCTTTGCAGAACTTCAGTGTTTAGTACTCTCAAACCCAATGTAACTTCTTGTACAGAATTAATTTTCCTACTTTGCTAGTTATTTATTGTACAATAACACCAAGTTCACACTTGTTTACGAACTCTGTATATTACATTGGCATTTTGTTCATCGTCCATGAAATGGTGGATGAGCAACCATTCCACTCTAAACCCACGTTGGCCAGGGATAAATAGATGTTGTGACTCAACCTGTTTTATGATCTACTTAGCATACACTCTTAAAAGATTATAATATGATGAACCAATCCACAAGGGCCTTGATGATGGTTCAAACCTATGCATCAAGGCCCTTGTGGATTTGTTAATTTGATATAAGGCGTAGAGGTTGACAGAGCTCGAATGCATGGGGGAACTGTAAAACCCCGGTTGTGCTTCGGAGAAACTTTAGGATCCTAGTAAGGGCAGTAGTATTTCAGGTTGCAATTCTTTGACCATGTGGTGGTACAGCTGACTAAGGTGCTTCTGGGAACATCGCATGTGTGGGTTTGAACCCTCAAGACCCTCGTGGATTTGTCCATTTGATATATCGCAATATTGTGATTTCTGTGTATAATGTTAGCACTATTGTTCTGTAATTGTTTGTTTGCTTTTCTTTGTTGATTGGTGCAATCTTTACTGTTTGAATGGTGTTGGGGATAACAGATCTAGGGTTCTTTCCCAAATGATATTTAACACCTGCAATAGCGGTTTTCTGGAGGAGCTCATGTTAAACGTGGTATGTCATCACATAAGGAATGATGTGATTGGTATTGCCCTGGGTATTTTGTATGGTCTTTATCACCCATATTCCATCTTGTGCCATACTTTGACTACCCTTTTGATGGGTCTGCCTCCCTCATCCTTTCATTGACTGCAAGTATGGCTTACTTGGAGAATTCTCTCCCAGTTCATTTCCACAATGTATCTCCTCACAATTTCTACTTTGTCCCTGGAGTTGGTCCTACAGTTGAAGTTTTGCAAGACTGATGAAGTCAGTGAAGACTTTTTCTCATCTTATGAAATGTCCCCCCCCCCCTGCCCCTCCCATTCGCACATTACTGGTAATTACCCAAGTGTTGTTCTTACAAGTAAGTGGTGTGGTGGTGTTCTTACAACTTACAAGTAAGTTGTAAGTGGTGTGTTGACAAGTGGGTACAGTCTGTTTAGGGTGTTGGCTACTGTACTTCGATTGTTTAAGTGCATTTCTTTTTTTAAATTTGTGGATGGAATTTGCTTCGGCAACCTCTTCCTTCAATGCATTCAACTTGACTTCCACCCGTAAAGGGAACGAGAATTTCCTTACACCTCCTTTACTTGACTGCATTCCCGACTTCCACCGATGTCCTCTTGTCCTCTCGCTCTATAATTTAAATAGGCTTCCTTTATCCACTTTATCTGTTCCCCACAAAATTCTGTATGTAGTTACCATATCTCCTCTGATTCTTTAACCTTTAAGCTGGTAAAGGTTCCTGAGGAGATTTACTCCCGTGCACGTGAAAAAAAATTAAATTTTTTTTTCTAAAAATGTTTAATTTTGTGTTCCCTGAACACGTGAAAAATAATACAAAAATTCTATTGTGCTTACCAATGACGTAATTGAGCTGACAAGTTTGCCGATGACGTTAGAGAGTGAACGCTCAAGGGTGTTGCATGTGGCGACTCAAGAGGCCAAAGTTGCTGCGAATTTATTTTTGCGGCATTATTCATAGTATCTATGGCACATTTTACAATAATTTTTTTTGCTAGTATTGTTCCAATTATTGTCACTTGATGTTGTATTATAATGCAACTGGTATAAATTCACTACGTGCTCACATATTATTGTCACAAGTATGCGCACCAAAATGGTATGTATTACAGGAAATATACAATGTATTTTTGTTTTTTCAATATTTACACTAAAATTCACTTGATATGTACATATATTTACAAAAGGATTAGACATTTAGTAGTCCTGGAGACTGTGATACTGTGCAAATCAGTCGACACGGCACAGAGGGACTGCACACGCTTTGCACCATGTTAACACCAATTTACGTTTCCTCATTTTTGTGCTGTAACATACAACACTGACACTGGCCTGCTGCACGCACTCCAGTTGGTGGTAATTTCTTGATTTGGTGTACCAGAAAGGCCTCCCTGTAAGCGAGCCTGGGTGTAGGAGCATGGTCCAATATTGGGTCCTGAATGGGTTTTTGTATGCCAGGGGTGTCTTTGCCAAACTTACCTAGTAATTGTTTCACAACTTGAAAACTAAACGAACAGAAATATGGTTTTTTATCTGTTTTCACAAGATACTTGTTGTAACTGTTCAGCATTGTTACGTCAATAAGGTGGAAAATCATCTTTGTTCACTTCACTGTTTTCCCATACACACACTACAGCACCCACCATTATGTCACATTTATCAACTAAATGCATGTTGATGTTGTTGTCCATCACAATCTGGCTTGTATATTATTTGTTTTGTTCTGTTCACCTTGCCACTGTTCACCATTGTACCAGGGTGAATGATGGTCAGCATGTTCACTTCGTCTGTCTTTCCACTGCACTGAAATCATTGCACCACTTTTTCTTGCCTTGCAATCACCTACTTGCATAGCATTGTCAAACACAGGCAATTTCCCTTTGTTTTGGTTGCACTGTGCCACTCACTCCAGTTTTATCAAGCAAGAACCTGGTTAGCAAGGAACTGGTATGATGACCAGACCACACACTAGAAGGTGAAGGGACGATGTTGTTTTGGTCCGTCCTGGACCATTCTCAAGTTGATTGTGATGAAGTAAATGCAGGTAATAAATTGCCTGCATTTACTTACGGTTAAGGTTGCGAGTCAAGAGTTCATTCCCCTTGTTCTCATTTCTTAGTCCTTTCAATTCCGGTACTAATTAAGTAGCAAACCTCTGAAGTTTCTGTTGATGCTGCGCAAGGTGTGGGTTACATGCTGGAGCTGCGTACTAAAGTAATGGTCTCGCACAGGCAGTGTACTGTACAGTGTATGGATTTGTAAGCTTCCTTGTTTAGACAAGGAAGACTTAAATGACAATGACATTTGTAGGATTGGTAAGTTGCCATGTGCTGATGCTGATGCCCTGTTTATCTTGGCTTGTAGTGTTAGTTGGAATATGTCTACTCCCAGGTCTTTTTCCCTTCTTTCTTGTTTTTCTTGTATGTTTCTGTATATGCCACCATTCTCCGGAGACTTGGCATTTTCACGAAAGAGCTTTACACAATTTTTGAATGCTCTTACACCGCCTGAATTTTGTGCCAGTATTTCTTTTATTATTGTGGTTAACTGACAGTGTTCTTGTGGTTCTAATTGTTTAGCCATTCCCATCTTGTGGTTAAAATCCAATACTGGCAAATTCTTGGCTTAAGCAGATTAGTCAAATTTTGCTAGATACCCAGCAGTAATGGTGGTACTGCATCTGTAGGCATGATTGATGGTCAGGCCTTTCATTTCTGGTACACTAGTCCAGCGTACTAGTTCACTAATAGTCCAGTGAGGTCACTAATAGCAAACTGCATATTAAATATAACCTATGGACATTCTCTTACCATTGTAATAGGTGGTGGGAAACGGCTCTGGCTAGGGATTGTAGCAGCTACATGTGCTCAACTCATGGACACACAATGGAAGCATGCTTTGCTCCTTATTTCTGAACTACATTGTCCTGCTTACAGTTGTGCAACTCATAAAATGTCCCTCAATAGAACCCTTGGTTATTATGATGCCTTTGCTGCTACTCATTGTCTTTTTGGTCTTGCTGCAGTGTAGAGAGAGATTTAAAATGTTTGCCTATTCTGCGACACATTTCTAAGTTGTCTTCCTGGTTTGGGACCCTCTTTCTTGATATTATTTGATATGGTCTACTAATTAGCATGTATTTTTTTTTTAAAGTACAGTATCAGTGTGCATGCCATTTTTTCCAAAATTGAAGCCAACTCGCCAGTTCGCACCCCTGTGGATATAATGCAATATACCTTCTCTAGCCTGGAACTTGATTTAGACAAACTTAACTGAAAGAAAACTTTTCGAAAGTGATTTGTGAAGTCTGTATATACGTTAGCATTTTGCTTATTGCCATGTCATCCAAAGCCATGTCATGGTGCTCTTCTGCCCTGGGTCCTCTTGTTGTCTCCCATGGGTAAGCCTCGGCTGCATTTTTGTTTCCAGAAATCCTGGCTGCGTCTGCTGTGATTTTGGAAGCATTCCCTCTTACACTCCTTGTCCATTCCACAAAACAGATTTTCTCATTTTGGGTAGGTTGGGTTGGATTGGGGTAAGGAGTAGGTATGATGGGGGGTAAAAATGTTCCCGGGTCAAAGACTCTGCTTGTCTTGGCAGGTTCAGTATGTTTGCATAACAGCAATGATCATTGCTCATACTGAACGTACTTATTTTAAGCTTATGCTTTCTGATTTTTTTTTCTTCACAATTTTGAAGTAACCAGATTCCTGGTAAGCAAAAGTGGTTCTTGGAAGCCTACATTTTCCCAAGATGCAGTGATAAGCTTAAAGGAACTGCTACCAAGATCCTCCACCAGAAAAGAGTGATTACATTTAATGATTGATTTTTTTTACCATGTACAGCTAAGGCATTTATCAGTTTGTATCATGTATAAACAAATTGTATCTTGTTTTTTCTCTCAGATCTCGACTCTGGAGCAATATGCATTCCGTGCCTTCGCTGATGCCTTGGAGAGCATTCCGCTTGCCCTTGCTGAGAATTCTGGTCTGTCTCCCATCCACACCTTGGCTGAATGCAAGGCACGACAGGTCTCGGAGAAGAACCCATCTTTAGGAATAGACTGCAATAGCAGGGGAACGAGTGGTTAGTATTGATCTTCTCAGTTATTTTATTCAAAAACTCAACATAGTTATTTCAGGTTAATGTTATAGCATAGCATAGCATAGCATGTTTAAGGGGCCATAATGCTGGATATTAGAAGCTGTTCAATGACACAGTTTTTTGACTAGTTGTATATGAAAAGGGCTGCAACTGTTCTAAGTTTCAATATCACAGCCTAAATAGAAAGGAGAAAAAATATATTTTAAAAAAATTTCAACATTTTCAAAATTACTCTACAACTGCAAGTTTCAAATTAAATCATTTCTATGACACTCGTCTATCACATTATTATATGCTATTGTGATATGAGTCAGACATGTTTCAATTGACAATTGTATTTTGATATTTATTTTTGAACATTTTGAAAATACTCATAATTCAATATTTTTTCAAATCCCTATCTATTTATACTACAATGCTGAGATTGGACCAGCTGAAGCCCTTTTCATATACAACTAGTCAAAAAAAATTTGATTGAAATCGAACAAGTTTCCATTTATTGCATTTGTGGGCAATATGAGTGTCCAAAGGGCAAATCAAATCTTAAGTTCTTGTATTGCCATGATTATCTTTTAATTATATATATATATTTTTTTTTTCTTGGCAGATATGAAGGAACAACATGTGATTGAGACTCTGCACAGCAAGAAGCAGCAGCTGCTTCTTGCCACTCAGCTTGTGAAAATGATTCTAAAGATCGATGATATTCGCACTCCGGGTGAAGCATTACATGGTTAATTATAAAGAAACAATCGACTTAAATTCCCTTTAAGATGAACATGTTTGAGATGGAAAGCTAATATTGTACCGTTAATCCGTCTGCTTTACCTCGGCGACTTAAGGTGTTTTTCTTATTTAAATCTGTAAACGAGTCATTTTTCTAAGTTCGCATTTTGCTCTATACTTTTGTCACAGTACAGACTTCTGTAATTTAATAAAACAATAAATAAATAGTTTTATTTACTGTACCCGATGTCAACCTAGTTTGTGACTTTCCATTCTGAACCACCTCCAGAGTGTCACCTTGTGGTGAGGGGGCTCACTTAGGACTCTGAGGCCGGTGAGGGGTTCCTTGACCCCCCTTGCCCCTCCCTGTGTGTTGTACGTGCCAAGACGCGCACACCCGTATACTTTAGCAAGTACACCCATGTACTTTGGCAAGTACACGGGGGTTGCTACACCCGTGTACTTCAGCATATACACCAGTTTACTTCAGTAAGTACACCCGTGTACTTTTAGCGGGTACATCCGTGTACCTCTGCAAGGACTTTTACTTGCTGAGGTACATTGAAAGATGTCTTGGCACCAGTGTGAGAGAATGTACGAGGCAAGGTTGTTAAAAAGTGGGAGCATCTCTGGGGACTTGAAAATATCCATATACTGTAGCTGGTAAGCGGGGGGATGGAGTGGCAAGGGAAGGATTTAGGAAAACAAGGTGGTTTGGTGGAGAGTGGGAAGGACAGGGTAGTGGCCCAACCACTTTGGCTTGAGTGATAATGAGTTATGTGATATGATGGCCGAGGCAAGATTGCACTCTGATGGTTTTCTTGTGGTTATTTTGACTGCTGCCTAACTGCCAATAGCAGCGAGCTGTAGCTGCTGTACAACAGGAGAGTAGTTGCCATGTGAGGACAGGGTTCCAGTCTTGCTGTACCGAGAGAGCAGTACTGTGGTGACTTGCAGATGTGTAGTTGCTAGAGAAGCTTGTAGTTGATGTTCACAATGATTTTATCCTGGTTGGTAGAGGTAATGGTGTCAGGTGTTGACTTGTTAGTTCATAGTTTGTGCATGCTAAGTGTATAATGGATCAGGAGGATCCCATTCATCGCGTGGTAGTAATTATAAAAAAGGCACCAAACCGGGAAGGAAATGTAGTACCACATCACATGGTAGGTTACTATGTATCCTGGGCTGTAGGTCGTCCTCGCTGTCCGGCCAGTTGATGCCGTGAGGGGGTTTGGTGGGCGGCTGCCGGAGTGTGATGCTCCATGAGACAGTCCTCTGTCCTTTTGTGGCCTTATACTCCTGCTGCTGTCCTCTCAAATTGTGCTGGATGTCGGAAAATCCGACACCATTTAATATCAATGCAATTGCAGATAATATTGCTGCGTTGTATACACAAGTTACCCATAGAAAATGTAACTTGTGGAATTTTCCGTCTATAGAAAACGGGATATCATTGCCATATACTATTATAAATTCACCAACTATTCTGCTGGGAATTATTCTTAAATACATTAGTCTGGACTTTTACCATCATAAAAACATATTTAAATTAATTTAATTATCAATATCAAAATAGAGTAAATGTGACCCTTCTATCACTTACTGATATCTGGACAAATAGGCCAGTAGGGTGAGTGGGGAAGGAGTGGTCAGCCATTGTTGTTTAAGGCCAGAGGCGCAGTGGAGCAAAATTCGGCTCCTATTATTTCTCTTGGACGAAGTGTTATGGAAACCAAAGGTCTACCATCATCAACACGCTGTCAACAATAATCAAGGGAAGTGTTCTGCTGAAACCCATTTATCTAATCATTTTTGGCCATTAATGTCGGTAGATAGGGCGAATCGGTTAGAATGCGAACAGCCTCTTAAAAAAAGGTAATTAAACCTTGGTCCTTATCTGATTCATTGTACAGTGTTTTCTCTGATATAGCCGTCATATATAAGGATTCTGACTTTACAGCTAGTGCCTTTGACAGGTCAAGAAGAGGAAGCAAACTTTGTGTATCAGTTACTGGGTGACGGAAGCTGCCTCACAGAGGATAATTTGGTGTCTACATCCTAGTTATATCTGGTGGACTAAGCCTGCTGTATAATAAGATAAGGAACCTCTTCAATGTATACTAATATATGTAGTTTAATACTGTAGTTTGATTGGCTGCATATATATAAATTCAATATAAATCCCCCCCCCCCAATGTGTAGAGGATCGATTTGTGAGATTATTGCAGAAATACACTTAACATCAAACAAATTGCTATCGAAATATATAAATTAATGTAAATATAAATTCTATATAAATTCATATAAATTAAATATATATAAATCTCACAGGTCGGTTCCCACACTGGACAACTTTTCCTTGTGTTTTCGTTTTTCTTCCCCTCCCCCCACCCCATCGTCTCCTTTCTATCTTGAGATGATTTCGGGGCTTTTTAGTGTCCCGCGGCCCGGTCCTCGATCAGGCCTCTACCCCCAGGAAGCAGCCCGTGACAGCTAACACCAAGGTACCTATTTTTACTGCTAGGTAACAGGGGCATAGGGTGAAAGAAACTCTGCCCATTGTTTCTCGCCGGCGCTTGGGATCGAACCCAGGACCACAGGATCACAAGTCCAGCGTGCTGTCTGCTCGGCCGCTCGGCTCCCATAATTTCTAATTTTCATTTCCCGCCGACCTTTTGCCTGTTTTGATCATTCTTTTGGCCTCCTTTTGTTTTGACGCCCGGGTGTTTGAGGAGGCATACTCTTGCACCCGTAGAACTAGTACCCAACGTCTCGAGCGAGGGGACCCTTTTATTGTCAATCCTCCTTTCGTCACTGAAACCAATCTCGACGGACTGACGGTTCTTAAGGTGGCGTTTGTGGAGCGTATACTCACGACGCACCCTTGGGGTGCCCTGGCAAGATCGGCAACAAGTCTCTTGTTGGGTGTCCTGCCTCTAATTGTGGTTCCGTGGTGGTTATGGGGGCACATTCGTAAATGAAAGTCTTGCCTCTCATTTTCATGTTGATAAATACCATTCCTCTTATGCTTTCACAGGCTCGTGGGGTGGGCCACCAAGCCCCCGAGTCGGACTGTGTTGGAAGACCGGGCTCTGTAGCCCCAGCTATATTGGGCCCAGACCTAGCTGCTCCCCTCCCTCTGTGGTTGGGTCGAGCCATACGCCCCCAGCGGTGACCACCTCGTCCCCTGGCGCGGCTCAGTGTCTCATTGTGATAACTGCACCTTTTAACCCCTCTCTCGGGGTTCTCAACGCCGTCCCCGCCACGGCCGTACTAGCACGATCCCTTCCCATATTAATATGTACCAAGCCTTGTTTGGTCCTGCTTCGTGGGCTAAATATTTTGATCTCCCTCTGGATTCTACACCTGATGTTTTCTTACTCCATAAACACCTTGTTGATTCGGTGGATACCTCTGTCACTTTTAACCTCACCCGTTTAGGTACACGTGTCGTCGCTGCTCCTTCACTGGATGCAGCTACCCGTTTAGCCACTTTGTCCTGCATTGGGGAGACCCCTGTTCGGGGTCTCCAAAAACTCTGTTAAATGCCAGTGTTGACACTGTTCTCCTCCCGCACTGTGTTGCAACTGGTGTTAGGGACCTAAACGACTGCCATGAGGATATTAAACATATCCTCGAAGCCCAAGGCCATCCTGTCCTCCAGGTAGATACATTTACTCGACCCCCTCGTGGTCGTCGCCGTCAGCCCCTTCGAGTTGTGAAAATCACCTTTGATAGTAGGACCCTTCCGCCCTCTATAATTCTTGCTGGTGCCAGATGCTCCGTTCAGGAGTACATTCCCTCTCCTAGACTTTCCAATAAGTGCTGGAAGTTCGGACATGGTGTCCTCAAATACTCAAGTACTGTCTATATATGCCCCATGTGTGGGACCGATGATCACTATAATAATAATAATAATTTTTTATTTAGGTAAAGGTACATACATAAAGAGATTTTACAAAGTTTGTTGGCTTTATAGATAGAGCTAGTACATACAATGCCTAAAGCCACTATTACTCAAAGCGTTTCGGGCAGGAAAAAACACTAATGACTAAAGCTTAAAACTAATGGGTAAAAAGAATAAAATGTGTTGAGTACAACTAAAAATAGAGGTAAAAGAGGGGGGAACATTGTTGAAAAAGCAGCACAAATACAATTACAAATTATTACAGAAAATTACATTCAAACAGCGTTGATTTGAAAAACAAAAAAAAAACAAAAAACATACATGGGTTGACAACAGAGGGGTAAGGTAGGTTACAGGGAATTTATTAGGTATAGCTTCGTTTTTAACTTAAACTGGTTGAGAGAGGTACAGTCTTTAACATGGTTGGGAAGGTCATTCCACATTCTGGGCCCCTTGATTTGTAGAGCATTTCTGGTTTGATTAAGTCGTACTCTAGGAATATCAAAACTGTATTTATTTCTGGTGTGGTGCTCATGGGTTCTGTTACAACCTTCTATGAAGCTTTTGAGATCAGGATTGGCATTATAGTTTAGCGTTTTATATATGTATAATACACATGAGAGAATGTGCAGTGACTTAATGTCTAACATATTCAGAGATTTGAGTAGGGGTACCGAGTGATGTCTGGGGCCAGAATTGGATATTGTCCTAATAGCAGCTTTGTGTTGAGTAATTAGAGGACGTAAGTGATTTTGGGTAGTAGAGCCCCAAGCACAAATACCATAGTTGAGATATGGATAGATAAGGGAGTAATAGAGAGTCACCAGGGCAGGGCGGGGTACATAATATCTGATCTTAGAAAGAATGCCCACAGTTTTTGAAACTTTTTTTGATATGTTTAGAATGTGTCCCTGGAAATTCAGCTTGTGGTCAATGAGAATGCCAAGGAATTTGCCATCTAATTTGGTACAAATTTGGGTATTGTTTATTTTGAGATTTATTTGATTAGAGGATATATTGCCAAACAGAATATAGAAAGTTTTGTCAATGTTAAGGGTGAGTTTGTTGGCAGTTAGCCACAGATGGACTTTATTTAGCTCAGTATTTACTGTGGCATTTAGAGCAAGGGGATCAGGACTGGAGTAAAGGAAGGTTGTGTCGTCAGCAAATAGAATTGGTTTGAGGTGTTGGGAGGCATTTGGAAGGTCATTAATGTAGATGAGAAAGAGGAGAGGGCCAAGTATGCTGCCCTGGGGAACACCAATGTTGATGGGTAGGGTGGGAGAAATTGTATTATTCACAGAAACACATTGGAGCC